TGTATCACAGTTTGGGAACCCTTATCTCAGTGCTTTTCAGAAACCCAAATAAACATACAGAATCAGGGAAACCTTCTCTGTGTACAGAATATTTTCTCTTTCTCCCACAAGAAGCAAAGGATTTTTTTTTAATCCACATTGTGAGAACTCTAATAATTGGCATATGCCCCCAGATAAGGCCCCGAGAAACACAATGATGAAGCACTCTGTGTGGGTTAGACAAAATGAAACAGATGAGCAATGTAGGTGGTAGGCAGGGAGAGGGAAGGGAATAAAAGGACAGATGACAGGTGACTAAGAGGGAGACCCCACCTAGATTATGGAATTCAAATCTACCAGTACATTATCCTTCTTCTACTATTTTTCCTGCCCTGCCTTCTTTCCAACATATTCACAAGCATACTCAGATAATTGAATTCGAGCAGTTCCAATGCTGCTCATAAATCCCCCCCAAGGACCTCGCTGCTGGTTTCTAATACCTAAATGGCCTTGAAGACCTGGCTGTCCCTGAATTTTTATGTAGTGCTTGTAGAACTCAGTGGCCACATCTACACGAGATGTTTATTGCACAGCTGCCTAATTAGCTCTACAGTAAAGTCTCAATGTCTACACGTGTGGCCCTATTAGGCCACAGGAAACTAATTAACTCCACCGTAAATACAAGTACTAACCTGTGGCGGAGTTCTTTAGTGCTCAGCGATACCTATGTAGACGCTGATGGGGCTGGCCAAGGCATAAGGGTGCTTCAGTGTGGGGGCTGCCTACCGACTGGCCCCACACTGGAGCACCCTCATGTCCCAGCCAGCCCCTCTGCAACATGTTGAGCTGGGTTGGAGCAGTCCTGAGCTGGCAGGTTGACCCCCTGGGCCACATGCCAGCTGGAGCTACTCTGACCCAGCTCAGCGTGCTGCAGTCCTGGGCACACATTTAAATGCAGTGCCTGGGAGCAATAAACTCCAGCATGATATTTGTCTTCGATATGCATCAGAGTTTATTGCTCTGTGTTAAAAGTACACACACATGCACCCAGTTTGTATGTCTTTAGTTCAAAACTTTCAAAATTAAACCTGCTTCTCTGTTTAGATTTGCCAAAAACACCCTCATTAAAACAAGATCAACAAGTGTTTTCATTATCACACTTTTAAGTGTGAGAGGAAATTCCAGAGCCTTGTAGCCATTTACATTTTCACGAATTTTTAAAAAAGTCCAATGACTATACACATGCATGCATGTATACATACATACGTACATACTCACTTTCCTTTAAGTAGCATCTTGCAGTACTGGCAGCCCAAACATTCAAGTGAGACAAGCCAATTTGCTATTACTGTTATTGTCCAAGTTAAGTGAAATTAAAAAGCTAGCCTTAACAGGGAACACTGAATGAGGCAAAGGTCCTGTGGTGAAAAATATATATGATCATGATAGTAGACTGCAATCTAATGTATATGTACATGGGAGATGAATTAAGGTTGAACAGATAACTTTAATATGTCCTAACAGTTAAATGCCTGACTGTGCAACCTTTCCTTTTAATATAAGAAATTTAAAATATTAAAAAAATATATTTGGGTCTTTTTGAATTATTCACAATGTTGTTAGTAAGCTGAAGTATAAGAACTTCCATTTTCTGAGGTCAAAGCATAGACATCTCCTGTTTGGGCTAACAGAACAGGAGGTACCATCAACAGACTGTTGTCCTCTTTGTGGGACAGCCACAACAATGGAAGTCATCCTTATGGATTTCATAGCTGCTGACTCACTACTATAACAGTGAAATGTGTAGATCTAGTAATTCTGAATTTTATTTCAGGTTCTGGAGGAGAGGGTGCATTGGTGCCCTGTGTCGTTGTCTCCCCAACCTATTCCTCCCTTGTTCATTGTAGCCCAAGCTCATATCTCTATTCTGTTCTCTTCCTGTCACAGTTGCACTAAAGTCAGGCTGTTCCTCCTCCTCCCTGGCTGCCAGTGGGGTGTCACATAAAAGAGGCAGTTTCTGTTTTCTTTTACAGTATCTGGTGTGACGACTACCCTCAGCAAAGGAGAAAGGCAAGTATGGGGAATTCCTGTTTAAACACAGCAGCTCTCCACAGCTACACTGCAAAAAGAGTACATGCACGGTCTAATCACCACTTAGGAGATGTTAGAGAATGGGGCATATTGGTAGGGATTAGAATTTTGGATTGGTAATTTGGATTGTAAGATTTTTTCCCTTAAAGCATGGAATCAAATACTATGAGGGAAAAATATATATCCCTCAAGTTATATATTCCTTAGCAAGTGTTCTCAAGGAAGAAATGTGATACAGTAAAACTCTTCTTGCCAGACTACTTACTTCCTTTGTTGGTAATGGGAAGTGGGGACACAATTTCCCTTTGGGTAATGTTAGCAATATATGAATGTGATTTTCATGCATTCCGAAAACTTCCTAAAGATATAATCTACCACCAATGAGTTAATTCATTTGCTCCATGTAGATGCACAGAGACATTTTCCTTTCAATTCAGATCATATTCACAGCCCATATTTGGCACTTTCCATTACATCATACAAGCGCACACACAGAGCTCAAACCCTCTTTCTTTCTCACCCGCTGTCTCCACTCTTCTCTCTTTTCTGCACACCTGTCAGTTATACACATTTTCAACATACGCTATTTTCCTTCCTTTCTTCTTTTGCTGCATAAAATAATAGTGAAAATAACTGCTCTGAGGACCAACTTTTCCTCTTAGCAACTTTAATCTTGAAAGTGGCAGAACACTGCTTAGAAACACACACTCAAGTATGTCATAGTCTCATTAACTTTATTGAAGTCAGTGGGACAAGTCATATAGGTGCATACGCATACGCATACGCATACATTTGACCTCCCCCTCCCGGCAGTGACATTTCTGCACACACTTAAGTCAGCTATTTATTTCTCTTCGATTCAACAAGTCAATCTGTTTCATTCCCTAAATCTAAAAACTGCATTTACTATATAACCTCAGCAATATGAGCCTCAGGTACACAGGTGTGTCATCAGCAGCAATGTCAGCAACCCAAACGCCTATTTATACCATAGTAACCAGTCTCCAGCTAAAATGGAGGCATGAATCACATTGATGCTGGCCATCTCTACTACCCATCCCGTTCACAGAGCAAGACAATGTTCCCTAGTTATAAGACACGCTCGTGTCAGTCTGGACAGGATGGGAACAATGCCGGTGCACCTCAACAAGCGGCCGTGTGGATGCCCCAAATATGTAAAACAAGATGTGGCAAAACCCCCAAATGAGACACTAAAGACATCAACATGGAAAAGGCTCTTTCACAGCTTACCCCTTCCTCCCCCAAACCCCAACTCTGCAGCTTCTGGTGACGAAGGGAACGCTCTGCCACAGAAGTCAGAGGGAACCTGGAGTGGGATGGGCACAGGTACCTCTGGAACCGACATGGGTGGAAGAGTAGATTCGCACCTTATAGACTAACCAAAGTAGGTAGGTACACAAATAGATATAGGTTAGATATAGATGGCTCCATATAGATCTCTCTCCACGAGTATGTGTGGGTATACATACATACATACATACATACATACACACAAGACGTGTACGTATGTATGTGTTTATCCTTATGTATCTATATACATGTATGCATATAGACACATATATGCATATACATATGTACGCGCACACCCGGCAGCAGTAGAACGGTCCGCATCCCGCCCTCACCGCATAGTTGTGCAACCTGCAGTTCCCGGACCCGCCCCCTTAGCGCCCATCATAGTACAGTCCTCTCCCCGACAATGG